ATGAGTACCCAGCATGATGATATCATCACAACCCCACCACATACACCCCGTACAAATACAGGTGTGTGTATGTGACAGGGTCGGTGCCATAATGTACCTGTGCGGACTAGTCACACGTATAGAGAGCAGCTCCTGTGTAAAAGCAGCTGTTGTGTTGAAAGCAGCAGCATTGGAGGTAAAAACAACACTTCTTGAATTATAATTACTGGGTAAATGTAAAATCATGTACTACTGCAAAATATATATCTCTGTACCATGGGAACTTAATCTGGATGCTGATTGGTCTTTTTTTTTTTTCATTTTATTACATTTTATTGTTAAAGTAAAATTACTCCTTCACTGAAAACTATTTACTTTTATAATATATATTCTCAGGGCATGAAAAAAAAGTTAGTGGAGCTATGTAATTGCAGCATATTAGGGAGAAATAATTACTTCTTCATTACTCAGAAGTCATTTTTGCATTTTAAAAAAAATTATTTTATTGGGGGCTCGTACAATTCTCACCACAATCCATACATGCATCCATTGTGTCAAGCACATATGTTCATTTGCTGCCCTCATCATTCTCAAAACATTTGCCCTCCACCTCAGACCTTAATATCAGTTGCTCATTTTCCCCCTCCCTCCCCACCCCCCATCAGCTGATCGGTCTTTTTATATTCAGCTGTGAATTATGTGAATAATAACAGGTGATAGTAACAGGTATGTAAAAAACAACACAGAATGGTAAAGCACAGGAAACTTTAATGAACTTTATTGACTCAACTATGCCATGTATCATCTTTTGTATTATTAAAGGTATTGTTATATATTATTTTCATTAGCAAAACATCTCATGACATTTGGATCATGTAGAGAAGAATGTTAAGAAAATAAAATATAGTGAGGATTTTTTACAGTATGGTTTTACCTCAATAATTAAAGCAGGACTTGAGAAACAACTATGTGTTATTTGCTGTGAAGTTCTATCAGCCAAATCTATGAAGCTGAACAAAGGAAAACGCCATTTTGATAGCAAGCATCCAAGCTTTACCGGCAAGGATACTATTTTAGAAGCAAAGCTGACTCAAGAAAGCCAGGCTTGACACTGGTGGCAAAGACCACAAACAAGACATAGCAGCCATTGAAGGTTCATATTTGGTGGCACTCAGAATCGCCAGAGCTATGAGACCTCCCACCATTGGAGGATTTACTGTTGCCAGTGGCCAAAAACATTGAGTTATGATGGGAAACAAATTTGTTACAAAATTGAGTGGTTTCCTTATCTAAGGACACTGTCCGCTGAAGAACAGATGGCATGTCTGCTGATATTCTTGATCAAGTCATCCAGGAAGTTACATCTGCTCCACTTCTAACATTCAGCATCCAGCCTGATGAATCTACAGACGTTGCAAACGGTTCACAGTTACTGGTTTACGTGAGGTATATTAATGATGGCGACTTTAAAAATGAGTTTCTTTTTTGCAAACCTCTTGAAACAACAACTATTGCACGTGATGTATTTGACAGATGGTTCATTTCTGAAAGTGTAAGATCTCTTGGGAAAAGGTTTGTGGTGTTTGCACACATGGTGCTCCAGCTATGCTAGGATGTCGATCTGGATTTCAACGTTGGTACTGAATGAGTCCCCAAAAGTCACTGGAACTCACTGTATGATTCATCGACAAGTATTACCAATGAAGACGCTGCCACAAGAGTTACAGGAAGTAATGAAAAGAGTCATAAGTTCTGTCAATTTTGTAAAAGTGAGCACTTTGAACAGTTACTGTTTTTGCAACTGGGCAACGAATTGGATGTGCTGAATAATGCTCTGCTGTTTCACACTGAAGTGAGATGTTTGTCGAGAGGAAAAGTTTTAAAAGGTGTTTTTGAGATTCATGATGAACTCAAAACGTTTTTAAATCAGAAAGCAAGAATG